ATAAATAGGCTTTTGTCAATTTACGGAACTTAAGGAAAGAAGTTGTAGATTTAAGTTGCAAAGGGAAATGGTTGTATAATTTTTTGCCGAATATAATATAGGTTTCTTTACTAACTCAGTGGATGAGGTCGGTAAATACACATCAAAGCTTGAATTTCATCAAAGAGTTAAAATCCCGTGATTTTTGAAGTAGTTTTTGCAATGTGTTATTGTCCTGAGGCCAAAAAGACACCGTATTGCTCTTTTTGTAATTTAAAAATAACACCAGATTGGGCAGCTGTACTAGAACCCCAAAAAGGAAGATGAGACTAAAACAAAGAATTATATGTTATTTTGGAAGATGCTAAATTCATTTTCTTCGAAACAGATCTTATTGCATAGGAGGCTGAGGCTAGTTTTTTACTTAACAAATCGACATTTAAGGTTGCTGCCTATAAAAATACCAAGAAAATTTACAGAATGAATTATACTGATCTGGCTGTTATTAAGAAGCAAGGGTTGAAGAGCTAATTTATAAAATAATGCTACTGTCTTATCGACGTTAAAAGAGATTAAATTAGAGTCGGACCAGGTTTTTATTTTAAGAAGATCAGAAATTATAAATACATAAAGCATTCCAATATTAGAGTTCTTCCAGGAATACTGGTATAATCAGCAAAATGAAAAATTTTTCCATCGATTTTTAGGTTAGTGATGTCATTTATAAACCATGAATGTGTTGCTTGTGTGAGTCCATATCAAATAGGTAAAGAAATAATAATAAGACTTACTCACAATCAATTTAATTTAACAATCTGACGACCGGTTTCGCTTTCTATAATTTGCAAAGCATCTTCAGGTCGAGATACAAAGTTAAACTAATGCTGCAATAAAATAAACCCAATTAGGGTGGTGTCTCATAAAGATAAAATAAACAAATAAATAAATTAGTTCATACAAATTATAGTAATTATGCCAATATTACATGTCTGTGGTTTTCAAAATGAATAATTTGAATATATAAAAGGTAGTAACAGACAAGGTAAGGCCCACAATTGGTATAAAGTAGCAATCTTTTGTTGTAATAAATTAATAAATGAGCAAATAAATAAAACAAACAAACATTACTTACATGCCGGTACTCTATTAATTAATGGATGGTAGGTCATGGTTGCAATGGTCATTTTGCAACCATGACCTACCATCCATTAATTAATAGAGTACCGGCATGTAAGTAATGTTTGTTTTGTTTTATTTATTTGCTCATTTATTAATTTATTACAACAAAAGATTGCTACTTTATACCAATTGTGGGCCTTACCTTGTCTGTTACTACCTTTTATATATTCAAATTATTCATTTTGAAAACCACAGACATGTAATATTGGCATAATTACTATAATTTGTATGAACTAATTTATTTATTTGTTTATTTTATCTTTATGAGACACCACCCTAATTGGGTTTATTTTATTGCAGCATTAGTTTAACTTTGTATCTCGACCTGAAGATGCTTTGCAAATTATAGAAAGCGAAACCGGTCGTCAGATTGTTAAATTAAATTGATTGTGAGTAAGTCTTATTATTATTTCTTTACCTATTTCATTTATAAACATTTTTTTGAAACCAATTAAAAGAAATACTTCGAATTCCGTAAAAATTTAGTTTTTTTATCAAAATGTCATGATTTATACAGTCAAAAAGCTTTGGCATAGTCACAGTGTCAGTGTAAAGATTATTGTTTAGTGCTTGATAGACCTCATGTAGTAGGTACAGAAAACATAGTACCATAAACATTCGATTTATTAGAAAACTCCGTTCCGTTGACAGTTAGTTACCCTGTATGTTGTATTTGAGCAATCAATTAACCTATGTCTAATCAGTAATCTGAAAGATGAGATATAAATGTGCTAAGGTATGTCATTTAGAACTTGACGCAAGAAATTAGTTACAAAATCAAAAACATACCTACAACGCGTTCATGGTGTTCTCATTTGAAGGTTTACAATAAAAACCGATAAAATAATTAATTGTACAATGTGAGCTACGGAACACAATTGTACTTATATAGCTACTATATAAGAAGAATAGAAAAGATGGACAACGTTATGCATCACTAGACCACGCGTCGTTTTCTCAAAGTGTGGATTATGGCGCTTTCTGGTGGAAAATCTGCATAAACTATATACAGAATAAATCCCATTAGTCTGTTAGTAACGGTTAAAAAGATATATTTAAAAAGGCCAAGTGCCTTTCTTCTTATTCTGGGTTTTGAATTTTGCATCACTAGACCAAGCGACTAATTTTCTGTATTAGTTTTGTATCAGTAGACCAAGCGCCTCTTGCGAGAGTTTTAATGATTGTAAATCGAATATTTAGCAGCATAGTACATAAACGTTATTTACAATAACTTGTTGAAGCGTTTAGGCTAAGAAGTAGTATCAGTTATTGCTTAAATCTTTCTATAAAATTAAGAGAGCTATAATTTGTTCAAATATTTCCGAAGTCCCAATAAAGCGTAGAAGAACAAATACCAGTAACAAAAGAAATACTACAAGGATATACACAATATCTGCTGTGACAGTGTGTTGTAAACCTTTCTTTTTACAGATCTTGGGAATATCAAGTTGCAAAGTCAATGCAGCATTGAAAGGTATAAAACGTCCAATGGGTGTTCGAGATTGGCGTGGTCACAGTGGAGGTCATAATAAAATTAACGATAATCGTGTACAAAAAGTAATTAAGCACATAACGAAATTCGCTAAGTACAAGTCACATTACAGAAGACCTAACACAGAAAGAGAATAACTAACAGAAGAAACAACATTAAGAAAAATTTATGAATTATGTATTGACAATGATCCTGTTAAATTTTCGTTTTACCAAAAAATATTTTTAGCACGATTTAATCTTCAAAGAGAACAGTTGAAAAAAGATATTTGTAGCAGATGTGATTGTTTGGTATTAGAAATTAAAAATTGCGCAGATAACGAAAAATTACGCAAGTTAAAGGAAGAAAAAATGTGCACTTAGAAGAAGCTGAAAATGCACAATCTAGAAGAAAGCTAGACATGAAGATGAGCAACGATCAACCAGAAGTGGAAATCCTTTGGTTTGATTTAGAAAAAACTCTTCGCCTTTCGAGAATTCCAACAAATATCGTATATTGTAAACGTTACCCATAGCGGCAAGGATAACTAAGGTCATTGTTATGTTTTGATAGAAGGAGAAGTTGGTCGGGGAGCCCAGGAAGTAGGCAGTTGTCTTAAGAAACACATTAAAGAAAGTGTTACTTCTGCAAAACATGTAATTTTGTGGTCAGACTCTTATGGCGATCAAAACCGCAACATCGAAATAGTTTTGATTCTGAAACAATTTTGGAAACTAATCCTACCATTGAAAAAATTACATTACGCTATCTCTTTCCTGGTCATAGTTTTTTACCCAATGACAGTGATTTTGGAGATATTGAATACCGTTGATGATTACCTAAACGTGATGAAGAAATCCCGTAAAAAGAACCCACTAGTAGTTCACATAATGAAAAAAGAAGAATTCGTTGAAACAAAGAAACTATGATTCCAAACCGTAAATCAGACATAGAAACCAGTAAGGTAAACTGGCCTAAAATAAGAGAAATGATATAAGAAAGGATAAACCACTGAGTGTTTTAATGAAAACTGATATTAACACTAGTGAAGTTGAAGTTGATCTTCACAAGAAATTTCAAAAAGTCCCGTTGCAATGCAATTCCTAAGTAACCATTTGATTCTTCTTTGGCCCACAGGCAAGCCACTTTCTGTGCCTAAGCTTAATAAATAACCTAATATCAAATGATGCAAAACCTCTGTATCGCTCTCTCTTTTCAGTAACAATACAGAAGAAAATGACATTGACAGATTTGATGGAGAATTAGACATACGAGATGAGTAATGTTGATTTACTTTTTTCATAATATTAAGAAAATTGTACCTACTGTTAACACTGAGTTCAAGTTTTTTTGTATATTTTTGATTAATTTCTTAAGTAACATAGAATATTCAAATCAACGACTTTTATTGTCATACCCAAAAAAATAGCTTGTGACCCACTAATTATTCACTCTAAGTGATATTTTTGTTACGCATCACTAGACCAAACGGCCTCCATGTCGCTTGCTCTATTGAAGTATAACACAATTACACCATGTGGCTAAAATCGTAAGTCGACCAAAAGCCTTTTTATTTTTATTTTTTTCGTTTTTCTTTAACATTAGCAAGTTACTATTTCGCACTAAGAGAAAACATAAAAAAACTGTCTTCGAAAACAAAAAATTACGACTATTGTAACATATACTGAATTTTAATAGAGTGAAAGTCAAATATCTCAAAATCAGTTTTTGGCGCTTGGTCCAGTGATGCATAACGCCGTTCAGATAGTAGTAGAAAGAAAAATAATAATTAGAAAACTTCCTCCGCTTCATTAGTAGCGAGTTAGAATGAAAATATGTCTCGGATGTAAAAGAAGAAAATTAGGCTATTAAAATCAATATTTCAAAACCCTGTTAATAAATTTCAGGTGTGACCCGCTAGTGAGTTCAAGACTGAGCCCATAATATATCGTCTACGCAATTAACAGGTAGAGCAGCTTGCTGCAATCGCTCCCTGTACTTCACTTACAAGACACACTATACAATGTATGACAACTAGGATAATAGGCAGCCATGGCCGGATTACGCTCGCCCCCGGTCATCAGTGGGTGGCCCTCGCAAGTGATATCAAGTGGTCTGTCTACATAGCATGTCGCCACTGTTACCACAACTCTCTGATTGATAGCTCCAGTCACGCGAAACTGATACAGACCACACGCAACGTCCCGCCTCTTCAAAGCCCCTCCCCGAAATCGAAGCCCCGCCTCTTATTCAACCGGTCGAGTGACGTTAGTAGTTGAAACGGCCAGCTAGTTAGTATCTGAGTGGGCAGCAATGTGTTAATACTATTGACGCTTTGTGGTGATTTCTTGTGATTTGTGACTGTGTAGTGATGTTGCTCGGAGTTATGCCCGAAGATAGCGTTCCTGAGGGACTTCTTGTGCCCACCGCGAAAAGCCAGAGAGCGACGGACTTTTCAATCGCTGCTATTATGGCTAGAGGCGCTACGCCTCCCGAAAGTGACAACACTAGAGAACCACAAACTGATGGTGAGTTGTCTAAACGCATTAATATGCTTATTAAACACAAATTCATTAGGAATCTACTAATATGTCGCATTCTCAGATCAAATTTTTATGTTTTTGACGCCCATTGCAAACATTTTTATGTTGTTTAGATTTTCCGACGGACTGTTGCCTCTAATTACCACTATCCAGTCACTTTTTTATTAATAGCAGAAAATGGTTGACAAACAGAGAACTAATGTCAGTGTTTATTTTGTATTTGTGCAATTGTCTCCCACTTAGGAAGGAAATACAAACATAATTGTCTTATAAACAAATATTTATCGACTTCTAACTTAACACATCTTTAGAAAATGATGTTTTTATCCAATTAGAAGCATATGTAGAATAAACCACACCTTTGGATATGTGGAAACTTTCTGTTGTGTACTGGAAAAATAAGTAATAATATGTTTTTATTTCTACAGACTTAAAGACATGCTCATTGTGTTGCTATTTCCTCAAATGTAACTTCTAATTCTGACATCTCTTGAATTTATTTTGTCCTAGATCTTATTTTTCTTTAGTGGACATTGTAACGATCTTGAATTTCTGTCTAATGTATTGGTGCTTTTTGCATAATAAAATTATTCTAGCTCGTAGTAACATTACCAATCATCAATTTTCTGTATTTATTGTGCTAAACTGTTGCTGTAGAGGAGTGATAAAGACCAGAATACTTATTTTTGGACCAATAACATGAATTTTTAATAGCCTAGTCTATAATTGATAAAATTATGGATTGATTGATACTTCATTGCGATATTTTTCAATTATGTATTGATTGTATTTCCTTTTGTTTAATATAATTATGTAGCCTAGATCATTTCTTGCTTACACTTATATTTGATAAGCGTTAAAATAACTAATTTGTACTATATGTCAAATGTCAGTCTTGAGATATGTTACAGCAAATGTTTTCTTTATATAAACATTTATAGTGATGTAGATAATAGCCTTTACATAAAAAGTACATAAATATGAGTGGTATTAGAAAAAGAAAATACATATACATATTTCTAAATGAAATATTGCGCAAAGAACAGAAAATATTTGTTTTTAAATTTGTGACAATGTCGCTACAGCATTTTTTAGTTCTTATCATTTGATGAAAGTCAATATTTATAATCTCAAGTAAGTTCTATGAAAAGAATCCATTACATATAAATGAAAAGCGCAAAAAAGCAATTATCCTGTCACCCCTGTTTACCTCCAAAATCATTTTAGCCTCGGATTATGAACAAAATTAATCAATAAAATACCTGAAAATTCTGTGTATCTATCATACAATCATACCTGTCTGACAACTAATCTATTAAACAAAATAGACAATCTTGTAAAATTTATTGACTAAAGATCAACAACTTAAGTCAATATATAATTTAATGAAAGCTTCTTACTACGCAAGACAATGGCATAGAAAGAGATTAGAAGAGTCTCTAACCAGTGGACAAACATCTATTTTGGACAGCTAACATAATACTACTACGGTGAAAACTACAAAAGATTTTGTAAACATCAGTCAAACTCTTAGGACCTTAAAAGTTTCGTCAATATTATATAAAGTAAAAACATGGGCAGTCACAGACACACTACTTACTTGACTAAGTTAGTTTGAATTTGAGAAATTTTGAAAACTACATTAACAAATTCTACGAACATTATCAGTTACATGTAAGGAAGCTGAAAGAGATTTTTGGCACTTATTCGTTTAGCATTTACAGCTTGAATTAGGTGTCTCAATTCATGTCGATAGGAATCAATGAATCTTCTTCTTCTTCGCGTGCCCTATCAGAATTATCCAACGTTGGCGATCACAATTGCTAAGGCTTCTTGATCTTCTGTAATATGAAGTAATTGTCCCTCATTTGATATCCGAGTCCCAGATAATATATATCCTGATATATCCCAGATAAGACATTTTTTGACGTTTAACAGTCTTTAGCAATTCTCTATCTTTATTAACGCTCCTTAGCACTTCTTCATTAGTTTTTCTTGCTGTTCAAGGTATTTTCAGCATTCGTTTATGAACCCACATTTCCAATGCTTCAATTTTGTTTATGATCGATACTTTTAGCGTCCATACTTCTACACTATACAAAAGTACAGACCAAACATAGCACTTAACCATCAACAATCAATGAATAAGTGAGATCAAGTTTTTTTCTTTTTCTATTCTATTCCTATTCCTATCTCTTTCAGTATTACTCATTTTTGTTTTTTTTTTAACTGCGCGTGGCTTAATATAAAAAATCACTAAGTTAATGAAACATTTAAGCCATCAGACCAACTAATTCTACTTGTTTATCTTTAAAATTGTTGAATATAATAGTTTCAGTAATGTAGTTGTTGAAAAAGTAAAACTGTTAGTTCAAAAAGCAATATTAATGTATGCGACTTAAGTATGGGTGATTAACATAACAGTAGACAACTTCAAACGCTATACAGATAAAGCAATAATTAAGAAAAATAGCAATAAAAATGAAAATACATCGAAGAAAAGGAGAGTATATTGAAAAGTACTAAAAAACAAACCCTTATTGTCTAAAATGGACATGTAAACAAAATTCACAATAAAGCAGGTAATAGAATCCAAAAGGTATGGTAAATAAAGCAAAAGAAAATGGAGGAACCAAATATAGAAAAAGAAACAGTAAAAACGAAACAACAAATGAAATAACAATAAGAACTGTGTCTCTCACGTCTCTGAAGAATAGGAAGAGATTCGATAAAAAAGAAGAAGAATAATTTTGATAGATTTGTCTACTTTAAAAATTATTGTTGTAATTTGATTGATTTTAACTTGGATTTCGATCTGTTATTTATTTGTTAATGATAAATAATAATTAAATTGATGTAAAAACAAAATGTGTGGACTTATTTTTCAATCTTCTTGTTTTTCTTCCTCTTTATAAGCCATTATGATAGTTCATTGCTTGGATTAATGGCTCTATGGAAGGTTGTCACTCCATATTTTAAGCAGTTGTCCGATACTTCTGCCATTGTGACTTATCTTTTGCTATTTTGATGACACAGGTCTCCTCCATTCTGTTTAAGTGGGTATTCCATTCTCATTTATACACTGTACGGTACATTTTCTTCTAATGTCTTTACTTCGCTGTATTTCTCTCATCGTATTTCCTGTAATTTTGCTCAGTACTCTCATTTCTGCTGCCGTTTCCAGTAGCTTTTGTATTGTTGCTATGTTGGGTCTTGTTTCTGAGGCATATGTTATTATTGGTCTTACAATGACTTTACTGGTGGAGCAGTCTTGGAGACTATCTTCATCTTGGGCTATCAATATTGCCTCGTCTGCATAATATACTTCTTTATTTTCTATGCTACAATCAACCGGATAAAATATTTTGAGTATTTTTTATATATACCGACATTTACAAAAAGGAAAAATATTTAAGACTAGCATATTTCTATTTTAAAACCAAGATATTAAAATATAAAGTTGAATATAAATAATAATAATAAACACACTTCACAGTGTAATGAAGTAAGTATTCAGTTTGCTAGACATTTAAATGAATTAAAAAGTAATTTTCAAGCTGAAGATATTAATTGTTTTGGTGATATTTTAAACGAACCTTTTGGATATTATTCCAATTATTTATTGCAGTTAAATTAAAAATATCCAATTGGATAAGTTCGACATCGTACGAAGATTTAGCAGAACTTAATTAGCTGACACCCCATTCTACTGTTGTATAAAAGTTATTATCAGCGTTGGATTGATTTTGTGTATTTCAAGTCGTAAATTTCAGCCTTTGGTTTGTTGTTAAAATAAAAATTTTATTACTTAAGTTCAATCGACATTTGGTTAAAAATTAAATTTGTTCTATGTGTAAGCATTTATTAGCTATAAAAATAGTGTCTCCTTTTATTTTGTCAGCGACTGCGCTGTCTTTACCTATCTCTTCTCTTATTCTTTAGTTACTGTTTTATAAGTTTCTATTTTTATATAAGTTGATCTTACACTCTACATTATTATAGTCTTGTAATGTGTTATTTTCTTGGCATCAACTATTTTTTATCACCGAGAAAATTATTTTACTTTCATCATTGTCGTTTCTCTCATTCTAGGTTCCACCATTTTCTATCTCACCAGTCGCCATCTTCCTTTCGGTTATAGCTTATTTGATGCCCTCCTATTATGCCTTTCTCAGACGTCTTATTCTTCTTCTCTGCATTTTTTCTTTCATTCTTTTAGATTTACCTCTTAAAAATTTCCATTACGTAAATCCAGGTATCCTAATATTAATGTTTAATCTAAAAAAAACCAATGTTTTCATTTATATTCTCCCAAATTTTACTTTTACGTCCACTTGTATATTCAATGAACTTTACTTTTTGAGGTTTTAACTAAAGTGATCACAGAAGATTGAGAGGACAGAAGGGAATACAGAAGACAAACTTACCTATAAACAAAAAAGAAACAACCAATTTTAGCAAAACATGTATATATAGATGTAGGTAGCTTAATGGCAAGCTTAAAAGCAAGGTTTGACATGGTAAACGTTGAGAAACTTAAACAGAATATCTATAAAAGGGTAAAGATGGAACCAATGCAAATAGAATAATATAGATTCTATAAAAAGATATTTATATACTCTTTCAACTAACGAAATGAAAGACAGATAAACAAAAGTTGCAGGTATAGCTGATAACGACTTTAAGATGCGCAAAAAAGAATAAATAACAGAGCCACTGGCCCTGGAGACTCACCTGCAGAACTGCTAGAACACCCCCTTTTGGCGTTAATACAAAACTTAAAACAAATACTTATTTGATGGCAAAATACCGAAGGAATGGAAAATGGACTACTTAAGCTTCATAGGTGCAAAGGGAAATAAAAAAGACAGGAAAATTATAGGGGATAAGGTGTCACACCTTCTGTAGGTAGCTTGCATGGAAAAATCATTAAGGAAAGATTGGAGGAAGAGCTGCGAACTATTAGAATAACAGGGTGGTTTTCGTCTCGGACGTTCATGTACCTATTGATAATATATTTTCTATAAAACAGCTGATTAAAAAAATAGCATTCAACGCTGAATTTCACATTGTATTCCCGGATCTTCGAAAGGCTTACGATAATGTCCCACTCAATACCATGTGGAAAGCATGAAAATCACGAAGTAGATAACACCTCCATAACTGCCGTGAAGTTTCACGAACACAATGAAGGTATAATAAAAGTCGGACCAAAACTACTCAGAACGCTTTAAAGACGATAAAGGACTTCGAAAGGATGACTTCTGTCACCAACAACTATATCTATAGTCTTTTGTTTGCCGATAATCAAATAATTTTAGCAGAAGGCAAAGACGACATCGTGTACATGATAAAAAAGCTGTAAGAAGAATTTAAAAGCTGGGGTTTAAACAATTAATTGTAATAAAACGCAATAATTGGCAATTGGAAACATCACAGAAGACCTGGAGGTTACTAACAATTTAATAAAACAAACTAATGAATACACGTCATAGAAGACAATAGTGGAAAGATGCTGACTGTTTGGCTTGGAGACGTGGGTGACAAATAAAATATGTGAAAATAGAGTAAATGCAATGAAAATGATGAACGAAAATTACTTTGGTATGGAGATCTTGAAGATGGAAACCAAATAAAAGAAGGGAAAATGGAAGGAAAAAATCACTGAAATGGGCCTCCTACACCACGATAAGATCTCACAGATCTGTGAGGATTTTTTCTTATGACAATTTTTGTAAAATAATTTGGGCTGCTGGTAATGGCATTAAAATTTTCTATATTTATTTCTTCATTGAAATCACGCTTAACTAGAAAATGATATCAAAAACTTAAATACTATTGTAACAATCAATAAGTAAAATCATGTATTTACCTAAACTGTCATTAATATATTAAAAATATGTGCATTTTAAAGTGGATATGTTTGACGTGCACTTCATAGACCACTTTGTGTATAGACAGATCATTTAATTAAGTACATTAGTTCAACTTTAACACTGTGATTCCGTCGGGTACATAGCTTACAGTTTGATTAGCGAAAGTTCATGTTTTTAGTACACTTCTAAATGAGAAGGAAATAAACACAGTATTCTAAATCATAAGCAATAACAGGAGAAAAAAACTCGACATGGAAGTAGATTGTAAAATTGTTTATGCCATTTACATAATTTAATAAAGGCACAATGCATTTGAAAGTAGGTTACACAGAAATAGATCATCTTTAAACAGAGGGAAATACTTTTATCATTATTTGTTGGGGAAAAATTTGACTGGTTTTTGTAACATTTTTTCAGATTTTTCTTCCTCTGTTATTTGTCCACTACGTAAGAAATTATCCAAAATTGTGGAATAATATATAGTATATTAACGTTTCATCTTACAAGTCGGATGTCGTTTTCAAAATTTCGACCGTAATATTTTGAATTTTTTTGCTATTTAGGTACATAATTTGTCAATAAATATTTTCTTGCAAAATATTAAAATAAACGATTGGAACAAAAAGGGATAATTTAAAATACCTAAGCTGTGGCACAAGGTACAAGTTGTGCGAAATGTGGCACACTTGTACAAGGTACAAGTGTGCCACTCTTTAAAAAAAATTGCGAAATTTATAGAGGTGTCTATTAAATGCAATACCTAATATCAAATATAGTCAAACGGCAACAAATGATACAGTTAATTCAGACTGATATGCTTAATGATAGCAACAGTAACAATGATAAACAACCACCAAAAGACCTAAAATTAATCTAAAAAGACTAAAAGAAGCTGATCTCTGCCAACAGATCAAAAAAACAAATACAAAAGGAAGTCCAAAAAGTAAAAAGACAAATACTTATCGCTACAGAAAAATGGTGTGAGTTAGGAAAGATCCCTCAGAACATCAATACAATAACAACTGGCGCGATACATCCCCTAAAAGCAAACAATAGATACTACAATTGCGGTGAATTGTAGCTATCAGAAAAATGTGCATAAATAGAAAGATTAGAAAAGCAACATGACAAAAAGAGACATTGAAAAAATATGGGAAAAAACAACAAAATAATAACTAAAAGTGCACAGAAAATAAACAGATGGGAAAAATATGTAAAATAGCTATTTGAAGATGACGAAAGAATGAGGACAATAGAACCAAGAGGTAAAAATGGACCTGCAGTTACCAAACGTAATTGTAGTAGTCTTTAAATGATAAAGCCCACTAAGAAGATGCTTAATGAACCAAATGATCAAAATTGCAGAAGACTTTATAGCAATTTTATTTCTAAAGTAAACATATTTGAAAAGCCACATTATATATTAGCTTCATATTCAATTTGATCGAGTCAATCACATCATATTCCTCTCATTATTATACACAAGGCAATGGCATTAATAAGACAGAATTTGGCTATTTCTTTGATGAACTTCTCGCTACAGATTTTTTAAAGAACTTTCAGGAATAGTTTGAAATAATATCGCTACCTTGAAGAAGCCCGTCAGTGCCAAAATGTGATAATTTTCAGAATTTATTGTTACAAAAAACGACGAGTTTTAAAAATATCATAAAACTTTACTCAGAACTTTAAACAGCCTAATATCTTTGGTATGTACTAGCCGGCAAAAAGCTATAGTCAATCCCATATTTCTTTAAACCTATTTTAGGCCATAACATTTTTGAGTTGTGACGTTCTTTAAAAAAATGTGTTCGGTGGTTGGAGATAGTTCCCTTCTTTATTAAAATTGTTTTTTTACAAGTCACATAAAAATAAGAACAATCACACTATAATGTAAAAACTAAAAAATGCTTTTATCATACAATAAATTATACCTAACTCAAAAAATACTTGTCTTCATTGTTTTGACAGAAGTCAACTTTAGCATGATACTACTCCTAAATCCTTGTAATTTGAAATAGTTCCAACTTAATTATTTCTTTTTAGATCGTCCAAAAGTCGAAATAATTCTAGATAGTTGGGTTCAAAAATTCAAAAAGTTGTAATACTTGTCTAAGATACTGACATAACTCAAAAAAAAATTCTACAATTTATTTTAGAACATAAACTTAATTTCTTTACAAGATTGACACAACTCAAAATATACCACAATTCTTCACATAAAATATTGCATCATCGTATTGTTTTTGAGAAAGTGATATCTCAAAATATTACATGTAAACCAACTTTTTCTATTTTTCTTATTAACAATAACGTCACTTCTACCGTCTGATGGACATAGGCATAAAGTAACTTCCACTTTTCACTTTTTTTTTTCAATTTTTACTTCTTTTTGAGATATGACGGTCTTCTTCCAAGGTCAATTTTATCGAGTTAACTACATCATATTTCTCTTGTTGCTATAATGCATGGGATTAGACACAATTTATTGGGTTATTTTTTATTAACCTTTCTAGAAAGAACTTTTAGTAATACCTACATTGTTTGAGTTAAGATATAAATGCAGTTGTGCAAAAGGAGTAAAATAACCATAACTTCAAACAATTTTTAAACTTTTTCGTTTAATTATGTCACTGATAATCTATTTTTAATTGTAGGACGACTTTCGCGATTAAGCTCTCCAGATCTCGACGATCCACTAGAAGACGATGATGTTGAGGTCGATGTTGAAGAATGCTCAGATAGTGAATTATCCCGAGTGATAAAACCAAAACTGTTAAGACAAAGTCCAGCAATATCCGACTGTGGTTCAGAAACTGCTGATTTAGACCGAGATTCTCCCGATATTGTTCCAGAAAAGAGTCTGCCGAAAACGCCTAAAATACTATGTAATTGTGAAGAATTGTTAAACGTAGAATGTCATTTAGAAACTAAAGATCTTTGGGACAAGTTTCACGAATTAGGAACTGAGATGATAATTACCAAAACTGGGAGGTAAGTTGTAATTTTATTATATCTTTATATACAGAATTTCTCATATCGCCTCAATTGTATAATATGCAAGACACACAAGTAAATTCTATAAAAGACAACCTCTGGGCAGATATAGCAAGTGTATAAGCGTATAATGTACGATAGAGTTTTTCTTAAATAAATTTCTTATAATACTCTTGACACTTTTTGTAATAATTGTTTACCTGTTATCAAATACGTTACAAATGAGAATGAAAAAGAACTGAAACCTCTTTGTTAGTAAACACACACCTCAGAACCTCTTGAGAAACTATATCATATGCTTTCGCCAATTCAATATAAGCGTTTGATTTTTTATTCTTTAATTTTTCCATCAACTACCTTGTATGATACAATAAAGTGCGTTACCGGTTACTCTCTGTCTGAGGCAGCACACCTCGCCCAGGAGAGAGAAGAATGGATAGCAACCATTCGTTAAATACCATGTCACCACATCCTTACGAAGGAGTAGTGTTATTCTACTTTTACTTCTTCTTCTAATCTCATGACCATTATCCATCGTTGGATATTATGTTAACTACCATATTCGCTATCGTTTCTCTTACCATTGTCTTAGATTTTTTAGTCATCATGTTCTTCTTCTACCAGGACCACGTTTACTTTGGATCTTTCCCTGAATAACCAAATGTAATACTTCATATTTTTGAGGGTTTGTAGTATTTTCTCGTTTTATTATTATCGAATAAATTTTGTATTTCATGTACAGTGTTCTGTTCGTATTTCCTCTTTTATGTCGATAAATACGTTTTTTCTCTCTTCTAAGATATCTATACTCTTCTTTTTTTCTCCGTGTATAACCTGCATTGATGGTATTTTGATATACTGCGTTCTTTCTATTTGTGGTCATTTCAAACTCATGATCAAACCAATTTCTTTTTACTGACTTGGTTTTATCCAATATTTCAACCGATTTCTGTGACACAACATCTCGTATATTTGTCCATAGTTGGTTAATGTCTTCTTCTTCTTTGTCTTTTGATCCTGACGAAGTTTTTGTCCTTATTTGATCTTCTATTTGCTGTCTGTGTACATTTGTACATTTATTCCTATATCTATATCAGTTATCTCTAGGTTCAGAATGTGCTCTGAATATATATTGAATAATATTGGGGAGAGTATACATCCCTGGCGCACACCTCTTTATTCTTTTTTACACAAATAGGATATTAATTAATATCAAAAGAAATGTCTCTTTCAGATAGACCACGAATAGGTACTAAAAATTATCGCTAGTAGCTAGGTGTAAAATTATATTATTTTACATCACTACTATATCTAAATCCAGAATATTTCTTAATGAAATAATGTGAGAAATAACAGATAAATATATCCACTATCAAAGGAAAAATGACAATATTTTAGAAATTAAAATGGCTGATGGTTTTTATACTTTTTATTGATAATTGGATTCACTTACCGGCTAAGACTGGCTATAAATCAAACAGTATACACAACAAAACAACTAACATTTTTAATCTTTTCTTCTTTAAAAAAAAAAAAAAAATACTATAAAACAAATTTAGCATTATACTGCGGCCTACATTTTTAGTTAACCCAACTTACCTTCTCAAAATTAGAACCAGAGTGGGCGTTAATTGCCAGTCAGATGACCCTGTCTGTCAAAACTGCCGCTTGGAGTCGCTGTTTAATACCAACTTAGAAATTTAAAATTACGAAATATTAATGGAATATGGATTTAAAAATTTATTTTAAAAGTGATAGCCTCAATAAGTCAATTCAATAAGTCAATAGTCATGTACATTTAGCATTTAGTCTTCAAAGGCTCTGTTAAATGGTACTTTAATATCATATGAGTAAAATTATTCGTTCGTTGCATTTTTTTGCACGAGTTTATTTAAGTTCACTTAATTATTTGTCACTGATTTGTGACGGTATGTTAGGAATTGTTAGATGTGTCGTAAAAATTGCTGTAAATAATTTTCAGAGTGTAATAACGAAGACAAAGTTACTTGTGGTTAGTAAACAAGACCTCGGCGCTATACAACTAATTTTCAATAATGAACCGATAACAAAAGTTAACCATTTAAATACCTAGGATGTTTGATAAACGAGACACTAAACTCCGGATGAAGAAATTAAAACTCGTATAGAAATTGCAAGAGAAGCATTTATGAAATTTAGATCTATTCTGAGCAATTCTCAGCTGAACTTACAGCTCACGCCATGATTCTGAATTTCTCGTTCATCCGATATGTCGTTCTATCTCTGTGCATGCTTGTTCCCATAGTTCGTTCTTTTCATTTGTTACTCTTTTCTTTACCTCTCTGTTTTTCTCTCTATATAGGTCTAAGTCTTCCTGTTTTTTGGTATTTAGGTATTTATGTGTAGTTTTTTCTTTTCTTTTATACATTTCAATGTGTCTTCCCTTAATTTGATATTCTGATGGGTGTCCTTTGGTCGTCTTCTCCAAGAGCTTCTAAGGCCGCTGAAATCAGGCAGGTTTTTTATGTGTTCATGCATTTCATCTAACGTGTCATATCTTATCTGAATTCTTCTAGTTTTTGTTCTAGTCTTCTTTTGTATAGATCTTTTATCGATTCTTCCTCTAATAGATGTAATTTGAGCCTCTTTTCGTTTATTGTCATTCCCGTTGTAACAATCGATGTACGTTTTCGTTTTGTCCAGATATAGGGGAACTCCATCCATGCCACCACAAGTTTGTGATCTGTTCCACACTCTGCCCCTCTTTTCACTCTGGTGTCTTTCACTTTGATAGAGCTTTTGTGGTTCATGATAATGTAGTCAATAATGGATCTTAGTTTTCTTGTCTCTTGAGTCTATGTGTACTTATGTATATTTTTGTGTTTGTAGAATCCGTTTATAATTTTCAAATCGTTTACTTCACATAGTTCTATCAATCTTTTTCCGTTGTCGTTAATTGTGTCTTCTCCAAATGGACCAACTGTTCTGTCATTGTCTTTTCTTCCGAGTTTTCCATTTAGATCCCCCACTATTATTATTTCTTGTTTGAGTTTTCCCTTAACCATTTGTTCCTGAAGTTTTTCGATAAATCGTTCTTTCTCATTGACTAAATAAAGAGAGAAGAAAAAAGAGAGAAAACTCAAATATCTGGGGCATATAATGAGAGGAAGCAGATAAAGGATAATGCAGTTGATACTCAACGGAAAGATCGACGGAAAAAGAGTAATAATTGGTAGGAAGAAATACTTACGGCTTCAAAACCTTTGTCAACGGACTGACTTATCAGCAGATGAATATTACATGTCGCGCAAGATCGAGAACGATATCGGCAAATCATCATGGAAACTACCCACGCCTAAAACTTGCGCACGGTACTCAAAGAAGACGAAGAGTGTAATAACTAGCTTAATTAAAAAAAATAGAGTGATATAATTGATAAAATATCCTTTTGTGTATTCTAATAATATCTTGGACTTGGTATACGTTTTTAAAGATTCTCTCGGTTTGTCCGATGTAAAATTTGGTATAAACTCAGTAAAAACTTTATATTTTACAGTTTCTGCTTTATTTGTTAATATTTTTTTTGTTTATAATAAAACCTTGTTTTTATTCATCAAATAGAAATACAATCGCAAAAGCAAGCTACATCTGTCGCAGGTATATTATATACAAACGAGTGTTCTATTTCCTGATAATATTAATACTACCTAATGATAATTGTTTCGCCGCATATATCGTATCATTATTCAGGTAATGTTCTACACAATAGCGATATCGAATATCGACTTGTTGGTCGGTGACAGGTGGCCTGGTATGGTTTTCATCGTTAATTGTAAACATTAATATCGAGTAGGGAGTTTGCCGAGTTTCAAAATTTATGCCCGACCATAATCACAGGGTAAAAGTAACTCTTTCCAATTATATATGGTAATTGGGGAGTGCTCTGTGGAACCTGACAGAATTCGAATTAAAAGGTGCCAAATTACCAGTGAATCCGGACTCGTTATATTTATGGTAAACAGCAATTTTCATTTTCACTGGCTTCGCTAAAAAATAATATTTCAATCCGTGTAAAATTGAATATTACCGGTTTTAAATGCTGAATAAAGGTAAAAATTGGAAGTATTTTTAAAGTGAGGCAATAAATTATATATATGGGGCAATATAAGTATTATTAATACAGTTGGGTTGTTATTTTCTTTAAATTTAATGTGAGGTTTCCTTAATAATCGGGTAATAAAATCTTCTTGTGCTATAATTGTAGTACATTGTTCCACGGTGTCCTTCTTCTTCTTAGAGTGCCGTCTCCCTACGGAGGTTGGCAATCATAATTGCTATTTTTATTTTAGAACTTGCTGCTCTAAACAAATCAATCACGCATTGATCGCATTGATATCAATCGTTTTTGTAATTATCATGTACTTCGTTTTTTTTTAGCGGTTAAAGTAATTCCTATCTCAGCACTATTCATACTTAAGCTTTCAATAAGATGTTGTAGTTCTTCTATACTCGTTGCTATGATCACAGTGTCGTCTGCATATCGTAAGTTGGTAATTTATTTTCCATTAACGGTAACACCCGCTTTGATATTATTGAGCGAGTTTTGGAAAATTTCTTCAGAATATAAGTTACACAAAAGTGGCGATAAAAGACATCACTGTCCAACTCCTCTATAGATCTTCATTTCCTCTCTGTGTTGCCCATCAATTTCAACTATGGCACTTTGGTTCCAATATAATGTTTGCACTATATTTATGATTTTACTATCAATGCGCTTGTTAATAAATATTGATATTAGTTTTTCATGTCTTACTTTATCGAAAGCTTTTTCGTAGTCAACAAAGCACAAGTGTAGATCAACGTTGACATCCTGACATTGCTGAATCAAATGTTGATGGCAAATAGTCCTTCTGGGATACCCATTCCATTTCGAAACCCAAACTGCGTTTCGCAAATATCCTCCTCTAGCCTTTCGTGTATTCTCCTTATGTATTACTTTTAGCAGTACTTTTTAAAGT